GTTCAAACTGGTATTGTTTCTGCCCAACTGTGAAAGCTGCTTTGCTTCGATCACTTTCTGCTTTTGGGTTCTGCCAGTAACCCGATCTCAGGTCGAACATGATTAATAACTTGGCTTTATGAAGGCTATCAAGGGTTTCTGTTACGGTAGGCATTGCACACTGTTTTACTTCGGTGAGGCTATTCAGCTGTCTGAAATAGACACAAAATCTATACTTGCCGTTAGCCTTCTTTAACAAAAGGATTGGCGAACTGTGCGGGCTGTCGGCTTCTTCGATTATTCCGTCTTTTATCATTTCTTTAACTTGTTGGTTAACTTCTTCTTCTAGGTGAACCGGAACTCGTCGCAATGAAAAGACTGTCTCCCCCGAATCCTTCAGTGGGATGTTATGCTTTACCTTATCACAATAACCATACGGGTCTCCATCACTAGTAAATAAGCCGGCATATTTACTCATCAACTTGGTTAGACGCTGTGCATCTTGCGGAAAATGGTTGTGGTTTCCACCTCAGCGACTTCACTATACTCATGTATCGCAAACTGTCCGTGTTTTGTGACCACTTTTCTATTCTTCATATCGATTACAGCTCCTACTTCTCTGAGGAAGTCTGCTCCCAAAATCGTTCGTCTTATATCAGAAGTTACCATAAACAGATATCGTATTTTCCCTGCTCCAATCTCCACAACGCAGTCTAAAACACCGTTATTGTGCAAAGGATATCCTCCTGCCGTCTGAACTGCTAATGTGCACGGCCTTATTTTCTTACACTGTTCTCTATCTATCAACGGAACTGCGGCTCCTGTGTCGGTCAAACAAACTAGTTCTTTTTGTTTAACCCGACTAATCCGACCACCTCCAAACGCAAGCAAGAAAAACAAGAAAGGTTGTACCGTTTAAAGATTTTTGCCTTCGTTCCGGACAGTTCCTCTGCCAGGGACCGGTTCCTCCACAAGCAGAACATCTGTTGTTTTGTCTTTTTCTTATCTTCATAGCCCCCACCTGCTGTTTCAACTCTTCAATCTGGTATTCGGTCTTCTTGGAATCTTGGAACTCCGTCATCACTGGAGCAACATGCGAAGTCATTATCTGCATTGTCACCTTTGCCATTTCATATCCACCCATTGGTTGAGCTGCGTTCACTAGCTACAACTGATGAGCGATATTTGTCTGGACGCATTCGAGGAAGTGAGATGCGAGCAACTGCTCCTGTGTGTCTCGGTCCAGGGCGGGTAACGCGCGTCGTAGATGATTCCTCAGCGTTACTGCGAGAACCAACGGATCCCCATCCTGGCCAAGTATCAGAGTCCGGAACTTCTGCAGCGCCTCTTGTCTGCCCACGGGGCTGTCGAACTCATACCTCACCTTCCAGCTCCCGACCGTTGTCGTACGCAGCCTTCGCGTAGCCCCTCAGCAGAGTTCCTAAGACAACCAGCTCCGACATCTCCTCATGCACTCAAACCAGCTTGGCAACAGCTTCGAAATCCTTGAGGAGCGTCCGCACATCTCCCTCCTTGAACATCTACGGCCACGGCACCTCCATCTCCGGCACAAGCAGCGACACCAACTGTAAAGAAGAAAAGACCGAGGAAGCTGGAAGGTGGCAACATTCTTCTCATGGTTCTCTTCTTTGATTGTTCTTTCCAGTGTGAAAAACATATTGTTACTTTTCTGAATTCGCTTTCTGATACACTACTTATATTGAACTATATGTAGCACTCACCACACTACATCAAGGTGTGACATAAATGTTCGTGATAAAAATGAAGTTGTACATAGACAGGTGTTTAGGTTACATTTGACAGTTATACAGTCAATTTAAAACATTTATTTCCCGATAGGAATTGAAAACAAGCAGTAAAGGCTAATAAAGCAGGATTTAATGAATTCATCAAATTTCGGTAGAACTCATCAGCTGAATACTCTCTATACCCGTACATATATATTTAAATCCTATTTAAATTACATTGGGAGATATAAGACTAATAAGTAAACAAACTCCACTGAATTAGTCATGCAGAAAGTCAGGTGCGAATGTTTTTCCAGGTCATGTTCCAGGTCATCACATAATGGAGCATATGCCTAAATGGTTGAAAAATGCTGAGTGCAAAGTGCCGAAATCTTCAATTACAAAACATCTTGTGGACTACGGATATGATATCGACGTGGTCAAGTCATTCACTATTTTCAGCACACAAAGAAACAAGAAGATGCTTGCAAGTGCCGAAGCTTGTGCAATTCGAGTTTATAAACCCGGTCTCTCTGTACAAACGTAGATGGTCCTGACTGTGAATCTATCATGGTAATACGTTGCACTTATTATTCTACCTCTTATTATTATTATTATTCTTGATTCATTTAAAACTATCCTTTATCAGTAGGATTATCTTAACTCACTTCAACACTTTTATTATTATTGTTATTATAAATATTGCCACTATTGATATTACTCTGTTCAGTGTAGTTTATTTGCTTAGCAGTCTCATATCTCCCAATGTAATTCCGATAGTGTGCATATATCCGAGTATGTAGAGTATTCAGCTGACGAGTTCTACCGAAATTTGACGAATCCATTAAATCCTGCTTTATAAACTTTTATTGCTTGTTTTATCATTTGAGAATTTAACGCAGACTTTATAGGCAACAGACCATTGAGAATTGATAACAGTAGCAACACTACCATCTCGCTTCTTCCTTGAACTACTTTGGTCTTGTCTGTACATCTTGAAACCATTCAGGGACAGTAAATTGACACCATGTGAATCGTGAAGCGAAGTTTCTTGAAGTGATATTACACCTGGTGAGCAGTTTCAATTGCACGATGTTCACAGTGATGCTGTCAGTCGAAGTCTAATATGTACTTCACGACGATTGTTGATATGCGATTGCGAATATTACATGTAAAGATAAACAAGCCGCTTCAATGTTGTTCGATTTCAGTTGTATCATGTGTGATAAGTGGTGTAGATCAGTGTGAGAGGGTAGAAAATTTGATTTCGTCAATTCAGTTACAATTTCCATTGATCTCATCAATAGATTCTACAGAAGAATTCTAAATGCAATAGCTATTCTACAGCTGAGTGTATGAAATCGTAGCAGAGATACTCATCGGTTTCTAAAGATCAATACGCGTACTCGAACAGAGTTATCTTTCGCAGTCAGAAGATAATTTCCACCACTGTCTCTTTGAGTTACAGTGATAATTATAATAATAATAATCTGGTGGCCTGCTTGAATCACTGGGCTGCTGAATTTACACCAGGTTCAATGCTGCATGAACCTCAATCTAAAGAAACTCGTGGTGTAGCTCACAGAACACAATATCGATAAAAGGGGCAGATGTCATCTCAGACAAATATAAACGGTTATTACCCTTCATGGTCAGGTTGAATGATCTCATTATGTAAGCCTTTCTGATCAGGCATCCACATTGACAGTAATGTGTCTGTAGACAATCAGTCCATAATTCTCACAGCATCTTAATCTCTCATTATGTTGACAATTTGAATATATTGGAAAACGTCTTCTTGGAAAAGGAACGAAGAGAGGAGATTGAAAGATTTACTAATACTTTTGTTTTCTAATATCCACGTAATCATGACGTGATTATCATTTCTATAAATAAATTGAACTCTATCACAGAACGTAAACAATTTTCTTTAAAGAAAGCATAATTAATCAGAGAGCAAAGGTAAACTATGTGTCTCATTATACGGTAACAATAACAGCAGGTTATGTGAAGGAGATAGTTTTCACCTAGAATGACAGACTACTTGTAGGCTGACGAAATAAGTAGCATTTCCGTGAGGAGTGTGGTGAGTTGGTTGTAAATACGAAGATAGTATGCAATAGATGAAGACGATGAGTGATCGAAATAGGAGGATTCAGTGTGAGTAGTGACGGTTGACCAGTTAGTTGAAAGTCGTTGAACGGGTTTGTTGACTGGTTAACATAGTTAACATAGACAGTGTGCTATTGAATAGGAGATAGGAAGACTGTAGTTAGTGGTTCATCATGAAATAATCAATATCTGAGAGAAATAATATCACTAACAATGAAGCGCAACAGCTTGTCAGTGTCAGGTTGCAGGACAGATGAGGAGACGGAGGATCGAGGTGCTTGAAACACGTGAGAGCAGATGAAATGCAAGTGGACTCTGCAAACATTCAACTGGATAGTCAAGAGTCGACTGTGTTCTGGTCACCCAGACGACAACGACGAGTACATCGATACAGTTAGTGGTAATCAAGATATCGCCGACAGCAGTCAAAGCCCTTATGCAGTGAGAAACATTCTCAAGTCGGATAATGATATTATTTCTCTCAGATACTGATTATTTCATGATGAACCACTAACTACAGTCTTCCTATCTCCTATTTAACAGCACATTGTCTATGTTAACTATGTTAACCAGTCAACAAACCCGTTCAACGACTTTCAACTAACTGGTCAACCGTCACTACTCACACTGAATCCTCCTATTTCGATCACTCATCGTCTTCATCTATTGCATACTATCTTCGTATTTACAACCAACTCACCACACTTCTCACGGAAATGCTACTTATTTCGTCAGCCTACAAGTAGTCTGTTATTCTAAGTGAAAACTGTCTCCTTCACATAACCTGCTCTTATTGTTACCGTATAATGAGACACATAGTTTACCTTTTCTCTCTGAATAATTATGCCTTCTTTAAAGAAAATTGTTTACGTCCTTTGATGAAGTTCAAATTATTTATAGAAATGATAATCACGCCATGATTACGTGGACATCAGGAAACAGAAGTTTTAGTAACTCTTTCAATATCTTAGGTGGTTTTTGCTTTTTGAAGTCATTTTACTAAATCTATTTTAGTATAAATACGTGGCTCATCTTTCTCGTTCCAGGAATCATGGCGTTCGCTCTCTTATCGCTGGCAATCATCGCGTTCGTGTTTCTACGAGTGAGAATTTGGAAGCAGAAGTGAAACCAACTTGCTCAACCAATTATATTAATACTTACATTCAGAGTCGTGGATTAGCGAACTCTTCCAAAGATCTTTATCCAAGGGTATGTCGATGAAACTCCCTGAATAAAATGCGAAAGGAAAAGAGAATATTTGATAACCAGTAATTCGAGAATCACCTGTCAAAGAGATCGAATGAAGCAAATTCAGTGGATAATTTCAGGTTTCTTTTGCCATCTGGCGAATACTAGTGGTCCATAGTTGTTAATTATATCAGCAAATAAATTAATTGCCTTTGCAATTATAGATAATTAGTCAGAGATTCGATAAAGTGATCGATACAATCATACTCTATTACACTGGTTGTAGCCAAGTGACAGACATTGAAATATGGGATCAGCATCTTAAGCAGCTGAAAACAATCTGTCACTTTGATGCACATCCTTCGAGAGCAGTGGTGTGACTCAACTGAATTTTTCTCACAAATCACCTTCGACAACTCACTGATTGAAGGGCAAAGCGAACAAGATCAAACAGAATCTACAACGAGTTACAAAAGCGTACTTACCATATGACTTGTGCACACTTATGATGGTATGTGAAATAGCTGACAAAACAAGTGAATACACGACAAATTCAGGATAGACAAGAATCAGGATGGTGAAAGGTGATAAATTCCCAACCATGTGATGCAGTATTCAAAGAAATTATTTAGACAACTGGACGTCAGCCCACATATATCTGTGTGATATTTAGAAGGGGTGTTAATTCAAAATCAACATTTAACGAAAGATTTCAATAGTCCAGTCTCTTTGTTTGTAGATTGTAAAATAAACAACAAACATTTCACATACTTTTGTAAATTACTGGCGTGTAGTAGTGTCCAGAAGTTTTGATCAGACAATTCACAACTAAAAGAACGATTAATTATCAATGTTGTTTTCATTTGTTGACTTACACTCATCGATAGTTGTTTTCTTTTCTGTGGCCCGTTTTTCCAATTTGACTGGAATCGGAAATATATAAACAGTCTGGTGACTCATGCAATATGTGTCATGATCGCTGGACATAGGGAGACACTGTTGTCAATATTGCTCACTTCTCAACTATTGACATGAAAGCTGATGAATAAACAAACGACTGTACGGTATCATCAATTTCACTGTCTCTACTGATCCCTGGATATTGGAGTTCACACACACATTTGAACAGCATTCCACTGTTATTTATTCCATGCCCATGTACAAAATATTGAGCAATACTCAGAGAATAATAACAATGCAAACCACACACTCAACTCAAAACATCATCTGGTGAAGAAACCTGTTCCACTCTGTGATATGTCCAACAATCGGATAAGTTTGAGGTGATTACTATATCTACTACTACTACTACTACGACTACTGCCATGACACAGTTTGATCTTCACACGCGTACTATTTAGTTGAAGCAACACTGACACAACAAATTCAGAGACAACATACAAAATGCAATATGGTAAGAAAAAGAAGAATTGTAAACGCACCTAGAAGTGTTATGAGTGAATTTTGATCATTCTCCAACAATTTTCCGTAATATGTAGTGTTCGCTGTGAAATAAAAATGGCAATTGTTTCACAAATCACTTGATCATGACTACAGGAATGATCTTCAATGTAAATTCTAGAGATAAGTCACACTGAATTAGTCTGCATTAACAAAGTGTTCCGGTGTTACATACTACCTGCATATGCTTCACCAACCACCTCAAACACAGACAATTGCGAATTCGGAGAGAATATGATCAATCATTCCACAAATGAAAATTCAATTTGATTCAATCAACATAAACTTGATAACTTCATCAAATGTTAAGCAAATGTATGGAATCAAGGATTATGTTGAAAAAAATTTGCTTACACTCATAGAAGTCGATGATATGCTGTAAAATTTCTATCTCTTTGGTGAGACGATCCGCATCTTCAAAATAACAAAATTTGGAGTCAAATCAGTGAATTATGCATGATTGAATGCTAAAGATATTTCGGCTTGAAGAATAAATGACAAAGAGAACATGTTGGCTAGCATATTTCCTATTTTATATTACTGAATAATACTGGTCTATATGATCAATGAATGGCGTATTGAAGCCAATTTCCAACAATAGATTACCGAACGATTCAGCTTGTAATATCCTTTCACTAATCTCACAAGAAGTAATTTTTGGTGCATCCGACAAATTAAGGTCTCAAGCCCCATTTGGTTACAAACTGACTAGCTTCGCACGATTACCACCTAGACAGTGTGAGTACTCTGTCCGATGTCGAAATTTAATGAGAATTCGGCTTCTCACTCTTAGGAAATTTGAAATGATAAAGTCGATTTCCACATATCTACAGTTTTCAGCTTCTCCACGTGCGACGACCTTGTCTTACTGGATTAGATGTAGTTGATTCAAGTAATGAACTTCTTTGCAGAATCAACATAATATTTCACCACCACACTATTTATTCTATAGTAGCATAAAACTAGCGGACAACCTATGAGCTGTAGAGAGAAATATCCGAAGGTTCCTGATGTGACTGGATATTCGACAAGAAACGTAATATTTTGGAATAATTTACAAGTTGAAAACAGTTGAATTACAACACAATAAGGAATACGTGAATACCCTAATTATTCTTCAATGTAATGCACTTACCATATTTCCTACTAACTGGAACATCTTCAAATGAATGAAAAACAAATAGTACTTAAATAATATAATCAATAGTTGAGAAAATGCATTCCCACAAGTCAACCGATCGAAAATGAGGCAGTTTCATACATCTTTCATTTCGTAGAGAAACCACTTGAATGCATCTGAAAGCTCCACAGTGTAGAATTCTCGAATAATCATTCCCTGTTGTGAATGAATATTCGCCAAGCAACTTTACATTTCGAAAGAATTGACAAGTGGGAAACAATTGGAATAAAATACAATGAGGAAAAAAACCGTGAATATTCCAATTACTCTTCAATGTAAATGTACTCACTATAAACTGGTCCCAAATACTCTTCAACCGGTACAAGTCCGAAATCTTCACATATAAAAAGAAAACATGGCAAGAATTTATTAATAGAATGACGAATTCAGATTACTTAAAACAACTTATCAATCGATCAAAAATGAGGCAGATTCATTCATCCATCATTTCATAGAGAAACCACCTGAATGCTTATCTTATGCACTGAAGCTACATTCAGCACGTGTTACACACTGATTCGAATCAAGATGAGTTTGTCGTCATGGAACTGAAATCCTCAATGAACACAATTTGTGCAACAGGAATGTATGAGATGTATGCGAATTTGTGTAATTGGTATGTGTTAGAAAAATGACAAGGTTGGTTTGTCATGTCAGACCAGGAGTTCATCAGATAATGATATTCATATCGACTTCTGATAGATCTGATAGAATGGAGTGGTCCATATCTTCACACAAATCACTGATTATCATGTACTACATAAGCAGTTGTCAATCACAATTCAGAAGTGAATTCTATTCAATTGCGGTAGATTTGAAATAAACACGGAACATGCAGACTGTGAAATACAGTGAGGTTTACCTGTCATTGGATATACGCGCGGTAGAAACACGAACGCGATGATTGCCAGCGATAAGAGAGCGAACGCCATGATTCCTGGAACGAGAAAGATGAGCCACGTATTTATACTAAAATAGATTTATTAAAATGACTTCAAAAAGCAAAAACCACCTAAGATATTGAAAGAGTTACTAAAACTTCTGTTTCCTGATGTCCACGTAATCATGGCGTGATTATCATTTCTATAAATAATTTGAACTTCATCAAAGGACGTAAACAATTTTCTTTAAAGAAGGCATAATTATTCAGAGAGAAAAGGTAAACTATGTGTCTCATTATACGGTAACAATAAGAGCAGGTTATGTGAAGGAGACAGTTTTCACCTAGAATGACAGACTACTTGTAGGCTGACGAAATAAGTAGCATTTCCGTGAGAAGTGTGGTGAGTTGGTTGTAAATACGAAGATAGTATGCAATAGATGAAGACGATGAGTGATCGAAATAGGAGGATTCAGTGTGAGGAGTGACGGTTGACCAGTTAGTTGAAAGTCGTTGAACGGGTTTGTTGACTGGTTAACATAGTTAACATAGACAGTGTGCTATTGAATAGGAGATAGGAAGACTGTAGTTAGTGGTTCATCATGAAATAATCAATATCTGAGAGAAATAATATCATTATCCGACTTGAGAATGTTTCTCACTGCATAAGGGCTTTGGCCGCTGTCGGCGATATCTTGATTGCCACTAACTGTATCGGTGTACTCGTCGTTGTCGTCTGGGTGACCAGAACACAGTCGACTCTTGACTATCCAGTTGAATGTTTGCAGAGTCCACTTGCATTTCATCTGCTCTCAAATGTTTCAAGCGCCTCGATCCTCCGTCTCCTCATCTGTCCTGCAACCTGACACTGACAAGCTGTTCCGCTACATTGTCAGTGATATTATTTCTCTCAGATATTGATTATTTCATGATGAACCACTAACTACAGTCTTCCTATCTCCTATTCAATAGCACACTGTCTATGTTAACTATGTTAACCAGTCAACAAACCCGTTCAACGACTTTCAACTAACTGGTCAACCGTCACTCCTCACACTGAATCCTCCTATTTCGATCACTCATCGTCTTCATCTATTGCATACTATCTTCGTATTTACAACCAACTCACCACACTTCTCACGGAAATGCTACTTATTTCGTCAGCCTACAAGTAGTCTGTTATTCTAAGTGAAAACTGTCTCCTTCACATAACCTGCTCTTATTGTTACCGTATAATGAGACACATAGTTTACCTTTTCTCTCTGATTAATTATGCTTTCTTTAAAGAAAATTGTTTACGTCCTTTGATGAAGTTCAATTTATTTATAGAAATGATAATCACGCCATGATTACGTGGACATTAGAAGACAAATGTTTTAGTAAAGCTTAAAATCTCCTCTCTTCGGTACTTTTCTTAGAAGAATGTTTCCAATAAATTCAAATTGTCAACATAATGAGAGATTAAGATGGTGTGAAAATTATGGACTGATTGTCTACAGACACATTACTGTCAATGTGGATGCCTGATCAGAAAGGCTTACATAATGGGATCCTTCAACCTGATCGTAAAGGGTAATAACACTTTATATTTGTCTGAGATGACATCTGCTCCTCTTATCGATATTGTGTTCAGTGAGCTACACCACGAGTTTCTTTAGATTGAGGTTTATGCAGCATTGAACCTGGTAGAAATTCATCAGCCCAGTGAATCAAGCAGGCCACCAGATTATTATTATAATTATCACTGTAACTCAAAGAGACAGTGGTGGAAATTATCTTCTGACTGCGAAAGATAACTCTGTTCGAGTACGCGTATTGATCTTTAAAAACCGATGAGTATCTCTGCTACGATTTCATACACTCAGCTGTAGAATAGCTATTACATTTAGAATTCTTCTGTAGAATCTATTGATGAGATCAATGGAAATTGTAACTGAATTGACGAAATCAAATTTTCTACCCTCTCACACTGATCTACACAACTTATCACACATGAGACAACTGAAATCGAACAACATTGAAGCGGTTTGTTTATCTTTACATGTAATATTCGCAATCGCATATCAACAATCGTTGTGAAGTACATATTAGACTTCGACTGACAGCATCACTGTGAACATTGTGCAATTGAAACTGCTCACCAGGTGTAATATCACTTCAAGAAACTTCGCTTCACGATTCACATGGTGTCAATTTACTGTCCCTGAATGGCTTCAAGATGTACAGACAAGACCGAAGTAGTTCAAGGAAAAAGCGAGGTGGTGGTGTTGCTACTGTTATCAATTCTCAATGGTCTGTTGCCTATAAAGTCTGCGTTAAATTCTCAAATGATAAAACAAACAATAAAAGTTTATAAAGCAGGATTTAATGAATTCGTCAAATTTCGGTAGAACTCGTCAACTGAATACTCTACATACACGGATATAAACACACTATCGAAATTACATTGGGAGATATAAGACTGCTAAGCAAATAAACTACACTGAACAGAGTAATATCAATAGTGGCAATATTTATAATAACAATAATAATAAAAGTGTTGAAAAGAGTTAAGATAATCCTACTGATAAAGGATAGTTTTAAATGAATCAAGAATGATAATAACAATAATAATAAGAGGTAGAATAATAAGTAAAACGTATTACCATGATAGATTCACAGTCAGGATCATCTACTTTTGTACAGAGAGACCTGGTTTATAAACTCGAATTGCACAAGCTTCGGCACTTGCAAGCATCTTCTTGTTTCTTTGTGTGCTGACAATAGTGAATGACTTGACCACGTCGATATCATATCCGTAGTCCACAAGATGTTTTGTAATTGAAGATTTCGGCACTTTGCACTCAGCATTTTTCAACCATTTTGGCATATGCTCCATTTTGTGATGACCTGGAACATGACCTGGAAAAAATTCGCACCTGACTTTCTGCATGACTAATTCAGTGGAGTTTGTTTACTTATTTGTCCTATATCTCCCAATGTAATTTCAATAGTATATAAAATATATATATATATACGGGTATAGAGAGTATTCAGCTGACGAAATTTGATGAATTCATTAAATCCTGCTTTATTAACCTTTACTGCTTGTTTTCAATTCCTATCGGGAAATAAATGTTTTAAATTGACTGTATAACTGTCAAATGTAACCCAAACACCTGTCTATGTACAACTTCATTTTTATCACGAACATTTATGTCACACCTTGATGTAGTGTGGTGAGTGCTGCTTATAATCCGATATAAGTAGTATATCAGAAAGCGAATTCAGAAAAGTAACAATATGTTTTGCACACTGGAAAGAACAATCAAAGAAGAGAACCATGAGGAGAATGTTGCCAACTTCCAGCTTCCTCGGTCTTTTCTTCTTTACAGTTGGTGTCGCTGCTTGTGCCGGAGATGGAGGTGCCGTGGCCGTAGATGTTCAAGGAGGGAGATGTGCGGACGCTCCTCAGGGATTTCGAAGCTGCCGCCGAGCTGGTCGGAGTGCAGGAGATGTCGGAGCTGGTTGTCTTAGGAACTCTGCTGAGGGGCCGCGCGAAGGCTGCGTACGACAACGCTCGGGAGCTGGAAGGTGAGGTGGCATGGGACAAGGTCGTCGAGCGTCTCTTGTGTGAGTTCGACAGCCCCGTGGGCAGACAAGAGGCGCTGCAGAAGTTCCGGACTCTGATACTTGGCCAGGATGGGGATCCGTTGGTTCTCGCAGTAACGCTGAGGAATCATCTACGACGCGCGTTACCCGCCCTGGACCAAGACACACAGGAGCAGTTGCTCGCATCTCAGTTCCTCGAATGCGTCCAGACAAATATCGCTCATCAGTTGCAGCTAGTGAACGCAGCTCAACCAATGGGTGGATATGAAATGGCAAAGGTGACAATGCAGATAATGACTTCGCATGTTGCTCCAGTGATGACGGAGTTCCAAGATTCCAAGAAGACCGAATACCAGATTGAAGAGTTGAAACAGCAGGTGGCGGCTATGAAGATAAGAAAAAGACAAAACAACAGATGTTCTGCTTGTGGAGGAACCGGTCACTGGCAGAGGAACTGTCCGAAACGAAGGCAAAAATCTTTAAACGGTACAACCTTTCTTCTTTTTCTTGCTTGCGTTTGGAGGTGGTCGGATTAGTCGGGTTAAACAAAAAGAACTAGTTTGTTTGATCGACACAGGGGCCGCAGTTTCGTTGATAGATAGAGAACAGTGTAAGGAAATAAGGCCGTGCACATTAGCAGTTCAGACGGTAGGAGGAAATCCTTTGCACATTCTCGGCGTTTCAGACTGCGTTGAGGAGATTGGAGCAGGGAAAATACGATATCTGTTTATGGTAACTTCTGATATAAGACGAACGATTTTGTGAGCAGACTTCCTCAGAGAAGTAGGAGCTGTAATCGATATGAAGAATAGAAAAGTGGTCACAAAACACGGACAATTTGCGATACATGAGTATAGTGAAGTCGCTGAGGTGGAAACCACAACCATTTTCCGCAAGATGCACCACGTCTGACCAAGTTGATGAGTAAATATGCCGACTTATTTACTAGTGATGGAGACCCGTATGGTTATTGTGATAAGGTAAAGCATAACATCCCACTGAAGGATTCGGGGGAGACAGTCTTTTCATCGCGACGAGTTCCGGTTCACCTAGAAGAAGAAGTTAACCAACAAGTTAAAGAAATGATAAAAGACGGAATAATCGAAGAAGCCGACAGCCCGCACAGTTCGCCAATCCTTTTGTTAAAGAAAGCTAACGGGAAGTATAGATTTTGTGTCGATTTCAGACAGCTGAATAGCCTCACCGAAGTAAAACAGTGTGCAATGCCTACCGTAACAGAAACCCTTGATAGCCTTCATAAAGCCAAGTTATTCATCATGTTCGACCTGAGATCGGGTTACTGGCAGATCCCAAAAGCAGAAAGTGATTGAAGTAAAGCAGCTTTCACAGTTGGGCAGAAACAATACCAGTTTGAACGAATGCCATTTGGATTGGTAG